TGAGGGTCATCTACCATAGAGATCGGAGACAAAAACCATATATTCTACTGTAATTACTAGGTATTCCAATCAATTGGTTTAGTCTCTAAAGGTTTAGAGAGACGATGGGGGAAAAGTGGGAAAGAGAGGAGAAGAGGGAGATATAGACGAAAAGGGTCTTGGTTAGTAAGGCCTCAGAACTCGTGTTTGTGTCTTGCTTGTTTCCCCTTTTATAGATGAGATCTTAAGGCTATTAGGAGAAGATCCCAAAAGAGACCTTTCCTATTGGGAAAGGGGATCTTTATCTACATGTTAGCTATTAAGGGAGCACCATTGGGGTTTTTTCACATGTCCAGTAAGATCCTTCAAGGACAAAGTTCCGTTTGCCACATGTCAAGGGCAAGTCGTAGGTTTGACTAGTGTACTCGGGTGTTTGCTCAATCACCTCCAAGGCACCTCATCACAACTTGTTGTAACGATAAGGGATGTTAATCACCCCACAAGCGAGTGTCATTGGTTTCGGGGCCTGTCCACCATTTGTTATAGCAGGAGTTGCAATTTCATGCTCATTGCAAGGTTATGATAGTGCATTGGGCTCATCTCAGACTTGCAATATCATTTTATGTCCATCACAAGTCTTAGGCAACGCTGATTACTTATTGCAGGTCCCAAGAGGTGTTTTATGTTCACTATAGGTCTTGGATGGTGCTTTGTACTCATCGTGGGTCCTAGACAGCATTTCATGCCCATCATAAGTCCTAGACGGTGGTTTGTACTCATCGTGGGTCCTAGACAGCATTTCATGCCCATCACAAGTCCCGGACGGTGGTTTGTACTCATCGTTGCCTTAGCAGGGTGTCATCATGCCATTATAGAGGTATTTTGGCTGCTCTGGTACTTGATGTGTTTGTTTATCGTCTTTACCTGGGTGGACCGTAGTATTCTTTCCCGTTTAAGGTTTTCTTATGTGAATCTTATCTAGGGTCTTCATTACAGTCTCAGTGATGATGAATTACATGTACTTACAATGGGTAAACTGGATCTTGGAATGTATAACCTTGGTAAGCTATTAGGTTCTATTAAATAGATCTCCCACATCCAACTTCAAGCCTAAGGGTTTTAGACAAGGTGATCCGCTATCCCTCTACCTATTTGTTCTCTATAGTGAGGCCCTAACCCAACAAATAGCAAGACAAGCTTTGGTTTATAAGGCTCTACTAGGGATCAAATCATCTAGAAATGGACCAATAATTCCAATCCTCCAGTTTGCAGATGACTACTTATCTTTGCAAAGGCAAATCCTAAGGCTTGCTAAATAGTGAAGAATATTTTGCAAAAAATTTCTACAGCATTAAGTCAAAGTCTGAATTTCCAAAAATCCACTATCATGTTCTCAAAAAATGTGCCAAATGTATTGTAGAGAATCATGGCTAGGATGGCTATAATTCCTAGATCCAATGATGAGGAAAAATATCTTGGAGCCCTTGATAAAAAAGAGTTACAATGGGAACATTCAAATAATTAGTGAAAAAAACGAAAAAGAGGTTGGAAGGGTGGAAAAGCAAAACCCTCTTATTGGGAGGTCGCGTAACACTACTAAAGGTAGTAGGTAGTAGTGAGAAACATGGCCCATTACCAGATGAGTAACTTTGGTCTACTAAAATAAATAACCAAGGAACTAGATAAACTTCAAAGAAATTTTCTTTGTAGTTCAAAGCAAGGAAACAAATCATTTACTCTTGCAAATCGGGATCTAGTGTGCTTAGATAATGTAAATAGAGGACTTAGTATTCAAAAATTGAGCCAAACAAACCAAGTAAACCTGATGAAATTAGGATGGGAAATTTTGAAGGAGAGCAATAATCTTTGGGTCCAAGTGGTTAAGGAAAAATATTTGAAGGAAATTTTTTATGTCAAAACACTCCCAAATCGAGCTCGTGGGCTTAGAAAAAACAATAAACATAGAAAAGGAGAAACTAAGAAAGGGTTTAAAGTGGAAGATAAGAGATGGATTGAAATGTAGCTTTTGGAAGGATGTTTGGGCTGATGAGAGACCACTGGTCAAGTTGGTGAACCTAGTAACTGAAGAAGAGAAATTTGGAAACTTTATTGTTAATAGGGAGTGGGATCAAGTTAAATTAGTGGAGAAAATCCCTCAAGAGATCATACTCACTAGGAATAATAAAGGTCTCAAGGAATATGAAGTGCCTAGAAAAAATAAAAGTTTTCCATTTGGCTTTAATTTTAAGTAAGATTATGACAAAGGCCAACCTTTTGATTAAAGGATTGATTAATGACAAGTAGTGCCCCTTCTATGGTCAAGATGAAGACAGGGATCACATCCTAGCAAAGTGCCAATTGGCCTTACAAGTTTGGATGATAGTAGATAAGAAATTATTTAATCAATTGGCTGACCCAAATTGGAATATGCTAAATTGGTGGCTTAAATCCCTAGACGATAAGGCCCACCTAAGATGTTAGAGTTTCTTTTTAAAAGTAGTCATCACCTTCTAGATCCTTTAATGCGGTGGAAAAATCGGTCGTGTAAAAGTTAGTTGATGGAAAAATCCTTTGTGTAAAAGTCCATCGGTTTAAAATTTTTTGGACCGTTGGACATTTTTGAAGTGGAGTTTATTGATATATCATTTACATCATTTCCGATGTAAATGATATTGGTTTATTGATATATCATTTAACCGATAGTGGCGTTTTACATCTGTTTGCATTTACACCCCAATCAAATGCAATCTTTGGAAAAATAGAAATGAGAAAATCTTTAGGGGTTTCTCTTCAAGTTCTCAAATAGTGTTTTATAAAGCTCAATCCTACATGGAGGAATACCTATAAGCTAAAATGGATGGTAAGCGCGTTTATGGATGTATAGTTAGAAACCATTAGGCTGTGTTTGGTTTGAAGGAAAAAGTAGGGAAAAGAAGGAAAAGGTAGGGAAACCTTTACAAATCTTGTTTAGGTTTTCCTACATTTCCCTTCTTTTCCTTACCTTTTCCTTCAAACCAAACATAGTATTAGGGATTGATGCTAAAAGCAAAGCTGGGCAATATAGGCAAGACTACAATTACATATGTAGAAATGTGGGCAGCCCTCCAAGCCCACAAACTAGCCCTATCTATCCTTTCCCAAAATCCATTCTCATCCATCTTGTTTGAAGGGGACTCATTACTTATCATTAAGTGTCTTCAAGGAAAAGCTGAGGCTCCATGGACGTGTTCTTTGATGCTGAATGAGTGCAAAGTGCTTGTAAGCTGCACGCATGCAAGGATTACATATGTTCACACCCATTGCAAAGAAAACAAAGTAGCAGATTGGTTGGCGAATAGAAAAGTGGAGCTTAAAGAAGAGTTCATCTCTAAATGCCCCTGGGATCTTAGCTTTATTATCCTTTTGGATGTTGCTGGTGGGGCCCTCCCCTAGTGGTGTTAATCGTTTTCCTTGTATTATCATAAAAATGACTTAAGTGGAAGTAATAAGAAATGATTTAGACTCTATTTGATTTCACTTCTAAAAAGTACTTCCTTTAAGACCTAAAACCACGTATTAAGTGGTTATTAAGTGCTTATATGTGTTTGGTAAAAAAAGTGAGGAAGTACTTTTTTTAAAAGAAACACTTATTAAAAGAGTGACCTCAAGGTTGTTTTTTACAGCACTTCTTAGAGAAGTGCTTCTTCCAATCTAATGGGACGAACCAGTCCCTATTAATTTTTTAATACCCAAAATACCCTCACATGAGGGTTTTCTTCCCTCTCCTCCCATTCGAACACAACAAACTAGGGAGCAGCGCCTTCAATTGCAGGTCCATTGGTGACGATCGACGATGAGGAAAAACGACCGCCAAACCTGTCATTTTTCCATTTTTCTGTGTTTTGTGAAGTTTTTCTTCGATTTGAAGATATTTTCTTGGGTTTTTTAAGTCTGAAACTCCCATCTTCTCCATGTTCGCAGATTTGCTTTTGGGCGAGTTTAACAACGATAATCCCACCATCCAACCGCTTTTGACAAGAAGGTTAGTTCACCCAAACTCCTCCCCTCAATGTTTGGTGTTCTTGTTGGTTTTTTTGGATGATTATTTGTCTGATTCGATTTTTTTTTGGTTTCATATGAGAAATCCGAAATTTTTTTTACTTGTTTTTTTATGCATTATTTATGAATTGGTTCCTATGCATAAGTGGGATATTTTGGGCATTTTTTTTGTTAAAAATCATGCAAAAAATTTGCTGAATTTGGATGAAAACCCCATCTAAAAGTTAGTAAATTTTAAATCCCATGATTGGGTTGAAGTTCAACGATCAGCTTGAATGTTATAAGGCTCCTTAGGCTTCAATTTAGTCTAATAAAGTCCATGTGTACGGGATCCAACTAGTTCTCCCCTTTAATTTATGTGATTTTAATAAAAAAAATTTATTATTTTTGGAGTACACATCTCCGCCCCACAATGCCCCACAACCCATTCCCGCCGTGTACTGGAACATCTCCCGATGATAATACCAAAACTGATGATATCATCATCGGAAGATGTTCCCAATACACGGCGTCGGCGGGGATGGGCTGTGGGGTGGCCCCTTATGGGGCGGAGATGTGAACCCTTATTTTTGGGAGTGCTTATTTTTGGCTTAGACTACACCAATTTGTGTTTAGGAAATAAGTCCGAAATGAGAATAAACACTTATTTGATAAGCTCAATTTTAGACTTATTTTTAAGTGCTTATTCTAATCTGTATTGGTCAGCCATGTCATTTTAAAAATGCCTATACTACCCCTGTTTAAAACAAGTACTTTTTCACCAATCACTCACAAGTTAAATCCATAACAATTTTTTTTGCAATGAACTCACAAATGAATCTATGTTGATTTCATTTTTCAAGAGAAATTCTAATACCTAACTTGCCACGTGGAACTTTAGTGGATCGTTTAAACCCTTCCCTAAACGACCCGACTAGCAAACCCGAATATCTGGTTCTGGGCCTTCTGGTATGACGGATTTCCTAGTTCTAAGTTCTAACTTCCAAGTTCTAATCAAGACAAGAAAGTATCAAGAAAGTACTTCTGTTGCCTCCGCTAGTCCGCTGCAGTTGGGGTGAAACCGTCGTGCCCTTCTTCTCTTTGCATAAGACTATACGAGCATAAAGATGTGGAGATTATCACGCAGAAGGACTTCTATTTTACTTGATCCAAATGGGCTCAAGAAAAGAAGACCAGTTTCTCTCAAATCCATGGAGTTTTGTTCCTTACCATCATCCAAAGAGAACGAAGATTCTGCTCGACAAATCTCTAATATTCTCAAATATGACAATTGGCAGACTCTCATGTATTCATCGGTCGTGCCCAATAAGCTAAACCCAGAAGTAATCTGGAACGTTCTTCGCCAAAATCAGGTAGGTGACGCCGGGCGCCTCCTCAATTTCTTCTACTGGTCTGAAAACCAAATGGGTTGCCCCCAGCTTTTGAATTCCTTTTCCATTATGGCTGTCAATCTCTGTAATTATAATTTGTTTGGACCAGCAAATGGTTTGTTAGAACGAATGATAAGAACTCACCGTTCCTCTCAGGCGATTTTGGGCTCAATTGTTAGTAGCTATACAGACCGCAAAGGGTCTAATCCTATTGTGTTTGACATTCTAATTGACACTTATAAGAAGATGGGCATGTTAGGGGAAGCTTCTGATGTGTTTTTAGCTGTTAAAAGTGATGGCTTTTTGCCTAGTTTAAGGTGTTGTAATGCTCTCTTGAAAGATCTGTTGAAGGCTAATATGATCCAAGTGTTTTGGAGGGTCTATAATGGAATGTTGGAGGCCAAAATGTCTCCTGATGCTTACACTTTTACTAATTTGGTAGGAGCTTTCTGCAAGGTTGGGAAAGTAAAAGAAGCAAAAGCGGTCCTTGTTGAAATGTCGGAGAAAGGATGCAATCCCAGTGTGGTTACCTACAACGTCATTATTGGAGGTTTATGCAGAACGGGGGCTCTCGATGAAGCTCTTGAGTTGAAGAAGTCAATGGCTGAGAAGGGGTTGGCCCCTGATGCCTATACTTATACCATGCTCATTAATGGGTTATGCAAAGAAAACAGGTTTGAAGAAGCAAAGTTGATTTTGAAAGACATGTCTGAAATGGGTCGGAATCTTGATCATGTCCCCTATATGGCTCTGATTGACGGGTTTATGAGAAAAGGTGATGTAGAAGAGGCTTTCAAAGTCAGAGATGAGATGACACTCCATGGCATTCAATTAGATCTTTCAATGTATAACATGCTTATTCAAGGGGTTTGTAAAGTTGGTAATATGGGGAAGGCACATGAACTTGTGAATGAGATGATTGGGAATGGGTTAAAACCTGATTCAATAACTTATACTTCCTTGATTGACGGGTATTGCCGGGAGCTGAATATGGGAAGGGCCTTTGAGTTACTTGATGATATGAAGAGGAAGAATTTAAAACCCAGGCTGGTGACTTACAGTGTAATAGTTAATGGGCTATGTCGATCTGGGGATTTTACACGAGCTAATGGTGTTCTTGAGGAAATGGCTGCTGAGGGTTTGAAGCCAAATGCTGTAGTCTATACAACACTTATTACAGGTTACATCCGTGAAGGTAGGCTTGAAGAGGCAAGAAGTGTCTTGAATGGAATGAATGAAAAAGCAGTTCCACCAGATGCATTTTGCTATAATACACTAATAGTTGGCCTCTGCAAAGCTGGGAAGATGGTGGATGCAAAGGAATACCTAGATGAAATGATGGAGAGAGGATTAAGGCCAAGTGCTTTTACTTATGGGGCCTTTGTTCATGGGCATAGTAAGGCAGGGGAATTGCAAGATGCAAACAAGTATTTCAGTGAGATGTTAAGTCATGGTCTAATTCCAAATGACATTATTTACACGGCCCTGATTGATGGACACTGCAAAGCAGGGAGCATTGAGGAAGCCTTTTCAACATTTCAGGGCATGCTTGAACAAGGGGTTCTTCCAGACCTGAAAACTTACAGTGTGATCATCAGCGGTCTCTCGAGGAATGGAAAAATTCAGGAGGCTATGAGGGTCTTCTTAGAACTTCAAGAGAAGGGCTTGGTTCCTGATACCTTCATTTACAGCGCTCTCATCTCTGGGTTCTCTAAACAAGGTGAAATAGAAAAAGCTTTCCAACTTCATGATGAAATGTGTGGCAAAGGTATTGAGCCAAACATTATCATTTACAATTCCCTGATTGATGGTCTTTGCAAATCAAATGACATTGAGAGAGCTAGAAATTTGTTCAACAGCATCTCAACAAAAGGTTTGGCACCCAACAATGTGACTTACACTTCTATGATTGATGGGTACTGCAAATCTAGTAATGTAACTGAAGCATTTAGGTTATTCAATGAAATGCCCTCACTGGGGATCCCACCAGATGTTTTCGTCTACAATGCCCTCATTGATGGCTGTTGCAAGGAAGACAACATGGAGAAGGCTCTAGAACTATTTTATGAAATGGTGCGGATGGACTTTGCAACTACTCGCTCTTTCAACATTTTAATTGATGGGTTTTGCAAGATTGGGAAGCTGCAAGAAGCCAGCACGTTGCTAAAAGAGATGATAGATAAAGGGATCATGCCTGATCATGTGACATGCACAACTGTGATTGATTGGCTGTGCAAGGCAGGGAAGATGGAGGATGCACACCGGCTCTTCTTGGGGATGCAGGAAAAGAATCTGATGCCAAATGCTGTAACTTACACATCACTTATACATGGTTACAATAAAATGGGGAACATGACAGAGGCATTCAATTTATTCCAGGAGATGATAACAAAGGGAATCAAGCTAGATGAAATCACCTACAGTGTAATGATAAAACATTGTTATGATGCAAGAAATTCAGTGGAGGCTCTGAAGCTTGAGGATGAGAGCTTAGTAAAGGGCATACCAATGAGCAGCACTGTGTACAATGTACTTATTGACAACCTTTGCAAGAAGAAAAACTTTTCTGAAGCTTTGAAATTGCTCAATGAAATGGGAGAGCGGGGACTTAAGCCTAAGCTTTCTACATGTAGCTCTTTAGTCTGTGGTTTTCATGGAATGGGCAATTTAGATAAAGCAATGGAGGTTTTGAAGAGTATGGTGAGGTTCCATTGGGTTCCAAGCTCTACTATTTTAAGTGATTTAATTGATGGAAACCAAAATGAGACAAGTTCTGAGAGTGGTAGCAATCTTTTAAATGAAGTAGCATAGCAACTTCCTTTTTACAGAGATGGCAAGCTGCTCAGAAAGACAAATTGTGTTGCTATTTATATACACTCAACTATTCATATTTGTAGCCTCCAATGGCAAGTTTTTTTCTGGAGTGATCAAGGTGTGAAGAATGATAGAGTGAATCTTGAGTTCTTACACCTCTGGTTCTTGGTTTTTTTCTGCCACTTCCTGTATCTGCAATGGTGGATTCCTCCAACCATGTGGTGGTAATTTTATGGTTTAGAAAGGAAACAGGGCTGATGTTATTAGATGTCTGTCACTTATGTTGGAAAAGCTCTTTTGACCCAAATAAAAGGAATTTCTTTCAAAGACTTGGTAAGTTGGTTAAAAAGATTACCCTTTTATTCTTTTTAAATGACCACTAACTTCCTTCCTAGAATGCAATTTTTGAAGATTTAATTGTTCATATTGTGTTGCTATTTATATGCATTCAACTGTTCATATTTGTAGCCTAAAAGCCAAACTTATATCTGGAGTGATCAAAGTGTGAAGAATGATAGAGTGAATCTTGAGTTGTACACCTCTGGTTCTTCTTGGCTTTGCTGCCACTTCCTGCATCTGCAATGGTGGATTCCTCCAAGGCTCCAACCTGTAGTGGTGGTTTTAAGGGTTTGAAAGGCAACAGGGATGATGATATGATATGTTTGTCCTTATATTGGAAGATCTCTTTTGACCTGAATAAAAGGAATTGCTTCAAAGACTTGGTAAGTTGGTTAAAAAGATTTACCCTTTTTTCTTTTTTAATGACTACTAACCTCCTTTTTTTTTTATCAATAACAAATTCATTAATTCATCATTAAAATAATTACAAAGAGGAAGACAAACACTCTTATCTTCCAAATTCAACTTGAGCCCTCAAGAACAAAAGAAAAAGGAAAGGAAGAAACAATAAAATTACAATTTAGCCCAAAACATTGAATCCCTTTCTACCCCTTGTTTAGCTAATCCATCAGCTAAAGAATTAGCTGATCTTTTAACTAGATGTGATTCAAAACTAATAAAATCAGTAGAATATTTCAGAATAAAGTAAAAGAAATTAGAGAAGAAGAAGGAGACAACAAGGAGGAAGATTGGAGAAGAAAGGAGAAAGAAAGGAGGAGTTCAAATATCTCCTCTTTCCCCTACTCCTATCTTTTATAAAACATACTTAAGTTACATAAATTACAAGGAGGCCCTTAAGTAGGCGTCCACATCAGCACTAAACTTAAAAAAACAAAAAAAGAACTAAAGGCCCATAAAGAAAAGGCCCAATAAGAAAACATAACATGAAAGAACTAATAAGAAAGACACTAATGGGCTAGGGCCCATTCGGCCCAGTCTCTCTACACTCCCTCTCAAGCTGAGCGTAGATATCTTATATAATGAACCAACTTTCCTTTAGGAACACCTTTTGTCAAAACATCAGCCAACTGTTCTTCAAAAGCAACAAATGGTAGACAAACTTCTCCTGAGGCAACTCTCTCTCGTATAAAATGCCTATCAACCTCAATGTGTTTAGTTCTGTCATGTTGAACAGGATTGTGTGCAATGTTAATAGCAACTTGGTTCTCACAATATAACATCATTGGCTTCTCACAGTCTATACCCAATTCATCTAAAAGTGATTTCAACCACAAAAGTTCAAGATCTTGCCACTATAGATTGCTTCTATAGATTGCCCTGTATTCTGCTTCAGTTGAAGATCTTGCCACTATAGATTGCTTCTTACTCCTCCACGATATAATGTTCCCTGCTACCTGTTAAAAAACGTGGGGTTACTGGTTCAGATTTGAAAATAGAATTGTATATATTCCTAGGATTGTGAAAGGATTGATTTAGAAAGTTTTTTCTTTCTATTTTTGTACTTTCTATTTTCTCTTCTTTCTATTTTTTCTTCTTTCTATTTTTTCTTCTTTCTATTTTCTTTTCTTTCTATTTTTCTTTCTTTCTATTTTTCTTTCTTTCTATTTATTGAAGCAGCTTACTGTATAAATATGCCCATTGGCAATAGAATGAAACATGAAACATATCAGTATTCTACCATTCCAAAACATGGTATCCGAATACAAATTCTTGGGAAAGAAGAAGTGCCTCCATTGAATGAAGTCATAGCCCTTGTCAGAGCTGAGGAAAGCCGCCGTGGAATCGTGCTTGAGCCTAAAGATCCTGAAGGCTCAGCCATGGTGGCAAGGGGAGGAAGTTACAGTGGTTCAAAGGGTGAGAACAATCACAACTTGGCTCGTGACACAACCACCCGTGACTCTAGCGATAACCTCTGGTGCACCTATTGCAAGAAGCCCAGACACACGAAAGATCGGTGCTGGAAACTTCATGGGAAAC